GATCCTTTGCTGGAGTAAATTGACACAGTCACTGAACTACATTGATTTACACCAGCTGAGAATCTGGCTTGCAGTCCCGATGCCTGTGTTGTTGAAAAAATACAGAACATTTTCATACAAGTACCAATGCTGTTCAATATTGCAAAATGTGTGCTACTGTGTACATCAAAAAAGCTACTTTATACAGTAGACTTTCTCAAAAGAATTGTAGAACAGCCCCACCCCAGGTGTGGAGAGCTGCTGCAGAAGGTCCCCAGTTAGAAGATCTGAGCTGTGGGACAGATACCCACAATGCACTGGTAATACAATGGTTGGATGCCATGCCGTGCATGGATGTTCTGAACAGATCTAGCCTAATCAGGGAGGGTTTTATGGACCCATTGCACTGTGCTATGTTTCAGCTGAGGCTTTCGTATCACCATGATTCAAAGAACGACTGTTCTGTAAATTCTGCCCTAGCCTTGCTAAGTGACACTGTTGTGTTGTTCTGACATTTAAGACACTCAGTGGCGTGGCCAGCAAGAAATCCTCACCCAGCAGGTGGAAAATCTCACCCAGCAGCTGAAGTTGTGCCAAAGCCAAACCACAAACCACCAAGGTAAATGGAGGAAGAGGAGCCGCTGTCCCCACCGGCCAGACCCAGATCCGTACAGGAGATGCCTTCTGTCCCAAAGTGCTTGGGCTTAGGATGGGAGTTCCCCCGTAGGTGCTTGTGGGAGATCTCACTGGCCAGCCGTGGGGTGGGGTGGGGATGGAGAGCCATCCCGACCTCGCTTCTCAGCCCAACCAGCTCAGCTTTTCCCCTATCCCTTGAGAGAGGAAGGAACGTAGTCAGTGAATAAACACTCCTCCTGTGGCCCGACGCAGCCCAGCTGAGGGCAGTACACTCAGGCCGAAGCATGTGGGTCATTTGTCAGATCCAGATCCACAGTTGGCTCCCCCCTTCTCCCCTTAGCAACTGGGATTCAGCTGAGCTGGGCCAATGTGCTTTTCCCGGCTGTCCCTCTCTCTGCTTGTGACAAGCTCCCATCTCCCCAACCCAACTGGGGCTCAGGAGGGCAGTCAGGCCTCTACCAAGACGGTGAGGGTTGGCTCTCCAGTCACCCCATCATGCTGCTGGGGAAGCCAGTCCCTTCAGGCAGCCTGCTCTTCCCCGCCTGGCAGCAGCAGTTCCTGGAGGGGAAAGGCCCATCCCCATGGGATGACGGGATCACCGGAATGTATGGACCATGACAACAGTAGCCATGGGGGTCAAGGCCTAAGGCTGGAGTACAATCTCAGGGATAGACGACAATGTCCCCAGCACACCTCATCACACCAGAGTGAGGCAGGATCCTGGTGAACTGATCGGCGGTGTTTGTTTGTTCAAGGGGACAAATGTCCGGTACGGTGGATACAGTTCAGTGACACCTTGTACCTCTTTGCTGCTGCAACCAGAACTTGGGAACAGTGTCAATCCTACTGCTCATCTCAATCTGCCCAGCTGCTTAAAACTGAGAACAAGGAAGAGAAGGTGAATCTGAGTTTCTTTTAAAATACTGGGGCAAAATTGGCGTTAATCAGCAGCAGCTCCCCTGCTGAATGTGTGGGATGGACCGTGCCCGACACACAATCCGTCCCCATGCTACATGCAGGGCGCTGTGACTGCAGCACTGCCCTGCATGGCACAAAGGTCCCTGTCCTCTTCAGACTCAGCTTGATTTTAAGTGTCAGGGAGATTCCCCCAAACAAGCAGAGACTGAAGATAATGGGATCAGTTCTTGTAAATGTATTGACAGGGCCCTATGGGTAACGCTGTGTTGTGACCATGAAAATGTCCAGAAATTTCCCCTTTCTGCCAAACAACCCTGTTTGTGGTGAATAAATCCAAACCACCAAAGGCAATAACCACACCATCTTCCATCTCCTCATTTCGCCCACCCGCCATTTTAGGAGCTCTGCTTGGGGCCGGCTTTCATTGCTGGTTGGAGAAGGGGGCACCCAGGGTTGCAATGTTTGTCCTAAATCACTTCCCCAAGGCTGCAGGGGAACCGTGTGGCAGAACTAAGAATGGAAATCTGGATGCAATATTCAAAGCCCAGCAGAGAATTCAGCCACCCAGCTCCCACTCAAATTAATGGAATTGGGTGACTCAGTCATCTGGTGGGTTTTGAAAACTTCTCCCTTGAAGCGTCGTGAAGCCCGAAAGAACTGGCACCTCTAAATGAGACTGAATGAAGCTAAAGTCCTTCACAGTCCCCTGTATTCAAACCCACTCAGGTACTGAGCAGATATCAATGAAAGTTTCAATTGACCATTTTTGTACACTCACAGCAGTTAAACCAGTGAAAGTGATTTAGCAAAATCTCAAGGGACTGGGAATATTTGAGAAATGTTAGAACATTTATAACTCAAACCAACTGAGCCGAAGTTCTTTCAAGCAGGTTTTTCCTTAGATCCCTTTTGAGATCTATGAAATGAGCCACGTCTGCACAAAACCAGTTCAGGCACTTCTGAGTTCAATGTGCGCACCATCTCCTGACTGGAACATTTGGGGAAAATGTCGGGTGTTTTTTAGCACCCTTCCATAACCCAAAAATGGCTAAATAGTTTTTACTGTAACTTTGCTATAAACATTCAGCTTTGCCCTGAGATTCAGGCTGGACAATTTCAGCCCAAAAGGATTTGGTTTGAGAAAGTTATCGGTCACTGAAACAGCCAGTTACTGTAATAGAAGTGGGAACTCAACCTTAGCTGTAGTCATACCTCTAAGAAGACCTATGGTGATTCCGTGTGTTGGGAGTTCCTGAACTTCTACCCTGTCCAGCCATTTCCACTTATACCCATGTGATGGAATTTGAGGTTTTAACACTTTATTTTATTCTTCTGCAGAATTTCATACAACAAGAATCATTTCTTTCTTTTGATATACGTCAAGGCTTTAAATATTATTTCCCTTTCTGGATTGGACTATCGTATGATTCCAGCACCAGGAAGTGGGTCTGGGTGGACAGCACAGCTCTCTCCTCTGGCCTGTAAGTCTGTGTCACTAGCACATCCCCGGCTAGGGACCAAAGCGCAGCACTAAGTCCTGTGTTTGATTCTCCACTGTGAGCCTCAGACAGCCTGCGGTACATACGTTTATTTAAGTGGAGACACTAACCCACAGCACTGGCCTCAACTGGGGTTCAGACCCCTGGGAACTTCCTGTTCTCCCCAGCTCCCACAGTGCCATTCTCTGAGCAATTCTAACTCCTTTGTGATGCCTTTTATCCTGAAACACCCCAAGGTGCCCTCAATTTGCGAGCCTGATTGTAGGTGGTGCTGGGCCCCTAGTGACACAAATTCAGCCCAGAAGGCCAAGAAGGCTGGGGGGGGAGAAAGGCATTTGCTACTTCCCCCTGCCACGGGCTGTAGCCAGACACACTGGTCCAATGTGGGCTTGTTGGCTGGGCATGGTAAAGGTGGAGGATGAGCTGGTTATTCAGCAACCTCTGAGGGACGAGCTGCTGAACTCGCTCGTGTCAGTCAAGGGCAACGCAACCCTGCCATGTTTCTATACAGGCCACATCTTACAGCAAAAATGTGTTATTATAAAAAAAAAAATGTATTGGGACTCCTTTTTGTATCCCTCCACCTGGAGAGCCTCGTGACTTCGTTACGCCATGAGTCCAACACTACAGGGCTCAGGCAGAACCGTAAAAACCTCCTAAGTGTATTAAAATATCTTTTCTCTACCTACCCACGTCAGTGTAAATATCACAACAGCCAAGTCAGCTGTTTGACACTGATCCAGGGTTTTCAGTGTTAGATCAAGTCCCAGTGAGCTGGGTTGGCAGGCAGAGGGCAGGTGATTTGATCTAAGGTGCATGAAAAATTGCAGAGCCATGTGAGATATGACTTTATCCCATGGATACCATTTCCACTTCTGTGACTGAACGTGGCGGCGTGTGTGTATTTTACTCTCCCACCACCAGACTGGAGACATCTCTGGCCACGATATACCACGATGGGAGGGGGAATAAAGAACACATGAGGGCCATGAGGTCTTAGTGATCCTGTGCTCACAGAGTTTCCTAGACAAATAGGGTAGCACATTGGTTCAGCATCATCTACTGTCCTCAGGACAAACACAGAGTCCAAGCATTGCGGCCTGAGGCAGGGGGCTCAGGGATTATTAAGATGAAGTGTAAATGGTTCTTTTTTGCACTGCAGGCTTGAAATCTCAGTAGCCAATAACCAGCATTATCCGCGCGGAGCTTGTGCCTATATCCATGGTGGGAATTTCAAAGCTGGAGCCTGCGGAGAAACTCGATCCTGCCTTTGCGAGAAGATGAAGGATTTGACAAGAACTTGAACTCCCTCATCTGGAACAGGCCTGGACAGTCTGCTAAACCAAACAGAGATGGAAAAATCTCATTTCCTGTCTTGGTAATTTCCTCTATCTGCTCGCTTATGTTGCACATGTGAGAGTTGACTACAATCGCTTTCTCCTACAGCCTGACTTCATCTGCTGGCATCTGTAGTGGTTGGATAAATCTGCTCACCTCGTCTCACCTAATGTTATTTTCTTGGCTGTAT